AATGAGAAGATGTGGCTTAGAGACCTAACAATGGGGAAGGAAAAAAAAGTTGGGCTGTGAATGACTGTCACCGAGGGGGGGGGTGAGGGGGGGTTGTATGTTTAAAATTGTATTTGTATGTTTTACTCTTAAAAAAATGTATAACTAATAAAGATTACTTTAAAAAAAAGCATTTATCAAGGAAGGTAATCTAGGAATGTAAAGACGATAGTAAAGTACAAATATTAAGTCACAATTTCACCATAATTCCCTAGAGGGCGCTCTTGAATAAGAATAGTTTTTCAAGTAAATTCATTTTCATGTGGAAAGGTATATGCATTTATTTAGTTTTGGAGGGAGCAAAATATGTTAAAAATATCTAATACAGACTGATTTAAATTCCTCTTATAGCTAACTTTAATAGGTAATGGAAACCTGAAAGTTACAAGGTATTTTAATAAATTTTCTGATTTGGGGGTGAGCTTTTGAAGAATCAGAATAAAAAGACCATTATTTTATAGTTTTAACAAATGAGGAATTTTAATGTACATAAAAATATCTATTTTATTTCAAAGGCCTGAAAAAAAATATTTGCAGCAAACTACTTAATTCTTATAGAATTGCTAAATTCCTTCTCCACTCCTCCCAAGTTCTTAGAATTTTATTTTAAATCATTAAGAAAATTCCTAGATTCACTCCAAAAGAGGATATTTTGATCCCACTATTTTGGGGTTGCTTTGGGGTTTTTGTGGGGTTGTAAAAGGAATACTGAATTGTGATATGTTTATTACTGTTTCCGGTATATTCATAAAGTAACAGCATGGATAGATAGAATACATAATTACAGGTTTTCAAAGGAAAGGTAATGTTCTGTGCAAAAACGTGAAATACAAAGAATTGTATTGATACAATTTGATAGTTAATCTGCTGTTGTGTAAAATTAGTTGTGAACCTTAATTTATGTCTGAAATACACATCGAGACATTTGGATATAATGTTTCTTTTTATCCATCCCATGCAACCTAAAATTTTATTACTAAATATCCTAACCCAATCTTCCCTAAACCATTGTCCTCAATTTTTGTGCAATATGCTTCTCATAATCTCCAGATAATATGTCCTCAGGCCAGCATTATGTTGGATAACTATGCATCTAAAGAACACCACAGTAAGCAACATTATTCAAAGGCAGGGTAGTATCTCAAGATAATGAAACCATTTTTATTTACTTAGCAAATAACAGGCTGGATTCACACACAAAAACACACTAAATTAAAACGATATGAACCACATTATAACTGAGATTACATGGGAAGACATTCCTAAGCATTCCAGTTGTTAGTTTACACAGACAATGAACGTCTTACTGATGTACAGTTGTTAATGATATATTTGCCAAACAAAACTGAAATATAAACAGGTTCACTGGATGAAAGTTACAGTGGGAGCTGAAGAGATTTAAGACTATTGCTGTTGCAGCACTGACTGTAATACACAGAACAATTTAAAAACAATACCTGCTCCTCTATTAAAGGTTCAAAATTCCAGATTTGGGATTTGTATCTCGGTACCTATCTTTAGATGCAGCTAATCATAGGACGAATAGGAAACTTAGTTTTATGCAATGGGGCCATCTATAGGGGAAGTAAAAAAAACCCAAAAAGGCCACTACTGTATAGTGGCCATGACTTTGGAATGGGAGCTCTACTCCTTTGGACATAGACATCTTCTTGATTTGTTTTTACTTCTCTTAACAGGCAGCCTTGCCTTTTGCTGTAATGTTACCAGGGCTTTTCAGAGGATAGTATTTCCATTATAGAGAAGAGCAGAGTTTCCTAGCTTCAGATTTATTGGGAAAGCTTCACATCCTCACTGAAGAACACTGAAGCAAGAAAGGAAGAGTACTTAATTGACCTTTCTGTTGAATAATTATCTAATTGATTTGTACTCAGAGGACCCAGTAGCTGTGGCCAATAGGAATTGGCCCAAGTCCAAAATAGTTTGCTTTCCTTGTTATTACCTGTTGTTAAAGCTGAGAGATTTAAAATCTTTTCTTTTTGTGCTTAAAAGGCTATTCTCTGGAGCTTAGAAATGCCAAAAGGAAGTTCTTCAACTTTTACAAATGTGCTTAAGGAATGAACAAGAGCCAGAAGTTCATTGTTGTAGCTAATATTTCTTCACCTTTAGGAGTAGGAGGAAGACTAGAGTATTTTGTTTCCTCCTTTGAAGGAATTAATATTGAATTCTAGTTGTCTGCAATTAGTAAGTTAAAATACTATCTAGAGATAAATGATGCACAATTTGAATGGTTTGCATTCTAATGTAGATATTTGCTTATTAACAATTAAGTATTCAAGTATTTCCATATCTTGTAAGAATGCCTACATTATTCAGTTCCCTATCTCAATACTTTCCTTCAATTTTCCTAATTTCTAAAGCACATCAGGCCTCAATATAATCTGCATGTTAGAATAGCAAATTAAGCATCCTTAGAGGCAGCATCCTTTGGAAAATACAGGTACTTGCTATTTAATTCAATAACTTG